TATGTGGCTTGGGCCCCACCGGTTGTGGCATTTCTCCCCCAAGCCAGTTTTCCGGTGCAATCCTTGGACAAAAATCAGCCCCGGAACCACACACGAAACACCTCCTTGATGGTAGAATCCAACAAAAACGTGCGGCTTCTGGAAAGATGCAATTCCTCCGCGTTACTGCCTGCGTCCGACGTTGACGCACCAGCTTTGGATCGTGCAAAGGCCGTGTTGGGGCCCCTGGATTTTTCACCCCCGTCTCAGGAACCCCACGGGGGGGAGGCTCACCCACCTTTTTTCGGACCAGCGACATCACCCCGATGCGGGTCAGCACGTGCTGGCGGGAAAGGCCCTCGCGGGGCACGCCATCGGCAAACGTTTCTGCCCCGTCCGCGCCGGGTTCGCACAAGTGCCGCATAAACAGAGACACGTACGCCCTGCGGAAGGAGCAAAAGGGGGAGAGGTGCAATGGCGACTGCCAGAAAGGGGAAGTCATCAAATTCATAGACCCTCCACAGGCAGAGGCAATCTACCTGAGAGGGCTACCTTCTATGGTGAAATAAGGGGAAAGGAATTTTTTTTTTAATATATTTATTGGTAAGTATAACAACCGGACGATATAATAAAGTACAACCAAAAATACTGTAGTGCTAGTCAAATCAGAAAAAGATATATAGGATAATGAATAGGTGAGTAATGTTTGTAGAAACTAAGAATATATCCCTAAAATGTTAATTTAAAACTAGGATACTTTAACATATTATTAAAATTTAGTCATATAGGCCATGTATTGCTCCATCTTCTCAATTTTAGTGCCATGTGTTGTTTCAATACAATTATATTTATATAATATGCTTAAATTCTTAATATACTATCATGGAAGTACCTTAGAGTATTAAAAGTAAATGTGAAAGGAATATTTTGAACATACCAGTTGGAGTAAAATCACTTTAGGTTACTTAGGCAAGTGAGCCAGGCAATATGGACTGTAAAACAGTACCTCTCTTCACAAGACTGTTGCCAGTGCAGCCGGGACTAAGAATGTACCATCCTGGTTTAATTTTCCTTCTACAAAAGTCCCCCAGGATCCAATAGCCCTCCACCTAACCTTTTTCAGATGCATCACCACTACAGATCCCATAATTCCTATCCTGCATGCCTTGTCAAGAGACCAGCCTTCTCCACAACCTATGACTGTACCTGAAGGCAACTGTTCTGTTCTGTTCTGTTCTAGACAGTGCCCCCGTTAGAAAAAATAAGAGGAAATTTGATATCCCCTATGCACAAAAATTGCATCTCCCTGTAACCAGAAATTGATGACGATTTCATGTTCTTTTATGTGATTCAATACAGGTAGTCCTCATTTAGCAACTGCCTCGTACAGCAACCGTTCGCAGTTATGGCAGTAATGAAAAAGTAACCTTGTGACCCATCCTCGCATTTATGACCTTTGCAGGTCCATAAAGCAAAGGAAAGTTAAAGTCAGATCATAAGCACAATCACAGTTTCACTTAGTGACTGCTTCGCTTAACAACTGAGTTTAGACTGTGGTCGCTAAATGAGGACGACCTGTAATAACGATTTTCCGGATAGCGGGCAATCCGTTCTAACATAATATAATAAAGTAAAATAAATCAAAAGAATAACAAGCACTCTAAAAACAATATGGAATAGTTTTGCAGTCAACAAGATTAAAAACCAAGACTGGAAAAAAAGTGTGTGCAATAAAGAAAGATGGGGCAGGGCGGGGGGAAAACGATCCATGGGGCCACCGATTAAAAAACAAGACTGGGAAAAAAGTGTGGGCAATAAAGAAAGATGGGGCAGGGCATGGGGAGAACGATCCACGGGGCCACAACAGTACCTGAACTCCTTCTCGCTTTTCCCTCGGAGGTCCCGCACGAGCCAGTGAGAATTGAAAGCATCCTGAGGGGGCATCCCCCAGCGCAAGATGGCGTTCAGGAACGCTTTGCGCTGGCGGGCGTTAAAACCCAACACCTGTCGAAGGACAGAAAGAAAGGACGAGGCGGTAGCGGGCAGGACAGAACGCGCGATGCCAAAGCGAGGTCCTTCACCCTGTCTCAGCAGAGCAAGAGGCTGCGACCTACCTCAATATTGCCACCGACTCTCGCCAGTAGCGGCGGGAGGGGTTTGTCCCGGTCGCCCCTCAATTGCCTTCGGGATGGTCTGCGCCCACCTGCAAAATACAGGGAATGGGGGGCACTCCTTTAAAGCTGCGATTTAGGAAGCTCCTCGGCTGCCAAAGATCGAGGGTCACCGGTTCCACCAAGGCCCAGAGGAAAGAAATTGTAGGCTTCCCGCTGAGACGGTAGCAAGGAAGCCATTATCCTGAGCAAGTTTACTGGAGAGAAGGGAAAAAAGTCTCATGGGGGGAGGGACAACCAAAATGTAATTATCTGTTGAAATGAAGGTCAGAAGTCATTTATATATTTCTTAATTTTAGTTTTCTTTTTCTTTTCTTGCACTTTTCTGTTTCTTTTCTTTTAGTTTGTCTTTTACTATATGAGAATTCTTAATAAATATAAATAAAATAAAGTAAATGTGACCTTCTCCTTTCCTTCCCGCCCAGTGGACTACCAGCGCTTTGAACTAATCCTGCCAGACAGGGCTGAAATCACACCAAGTCCACAAGCTGCAGACCTCCACCTTCAGCAAAGCTCATACAGGAGCAAACATCTCCAAGAACGGACGCCCTGAGCAAGGGAAGGAAGAGAGCAACGTAGCAACCCAGGTTGAAAAACAAAGGAAGAAACTCTCTCCGACCTTCCAGCCTTTCCTCGAAATCCTCATCCTCATCTTCGGAGCCAATGGAGTACTCCGACTGGTTATCAGACAGCTCTTCTTGCCATTCTGCAAGAGGAAGAGAAGAACAAGGGATCAAAACTTACATTTTTGAGCACTGGGGAGAAAAAAACAACTTCTCCACTCAACAGCCCGGCAAGCAGTGATTAAGCTATTGGAGCTAGTTTTCTGCTTGCAGGGGGGCATTAAAAACTTCTCATCCTGTGGGCTGAAGGGCCCCCGGTCATTTTAAATCACATTCTTTTTCAACCTGTTTTGCTGCAGCAACAACCCCCAACACTGTGCCTTTAGGACCATATTAGCAAGGTGCAATCCCAGCACGGATTTAAAAAAAAAAATTGGACAGTTCAAACTGTGCACTGAGGAAAATGGTCCATCCTTTTCTCACATAATTCTCTATTTTTTTCAGGTGGTGAATGGCAGGGAGGGAGGCAAGGAATTACAGCCGGCATTTCATTTCCAACGCTTAGAAATGTTACTTCTCGTCCCTGGAGGTCTCCCAACAGAGGGTGGAGGGTCATCTGCACTGAGCAGGGGGTTGGACTAGGGGACCTCAAAGACCCCTCCCAATTCAATGGTTCCCCAATTCTAGAAGGACTGTCAGGTTCAGCCCAAAAAACTCCCCAAGACAACACAGATACAGTTCTGTTGCGTTTATTAGCTTCCACCTTAAAGACAGAAATCTCTCCAGGCTGAATCTAACTTTCCAAGCCAGCAAGCCAAAACACCGTGAATTCCTTAGGGTGGTGCCAG